CCAGGCGTCAGCCGAGAAGGAAGGGCGCTGAAGAGACGGCAGGCGGCCTCCGCCCCGGCGCGCGGGGCACGCGCTCACCTGCTGCGCACGCGCCAACGAAGTGTCCGTTTCTTGCACACTGCTGGGGGAGAAGGCAATGTAAGCATGAGGCACTTGAATTTCCCCCGAGCTTTAAACCTTTAAGAACACTTACAGACATGTAAATGAAGGGGAAAAAGAAAGTTTTGGTTTAAAAAATAAACAATTTTAATCATGTAAAATAACAGGTGTTTTTCATATTACAAAAACTAATACATGGGTAAGCTTAGAAAATACATTAAAGTATAGGAGAAAATAAAAAATTATTCATAATCGCACAATCCACATTTGGTAGTGTTTTTATTTATTTGTTAGGATAACCTGACTCATGTAACAGATAACTAAATCTTGGCGATGTAACACAATGAAGGCTTGGTTCTGCCTAATGCCACCTTCCAGCTTTGGGGGTGGGAGGGCGGAAGGGGATCCTTCTGGAGGCGGTCATTCTGGAACCCAGCCTCCTTCCATCACACCCTAGGGCTTGAAGTCCTTCCTTGGTTCCTCAGTGTTTGGCATCTGAGAAGGGAAGAAGGAGGTTTTGAAAAGTAATCTGCCCACATTTCACTGGCCATACAGGACACATGGCTGCATCCAACTGCAAAGGAGACTGGAAAACAGTGTGTCCAGGAGGAAGGGGGACAGGTTTGGGGAGCACCTAGTAGCTCTACAAACAGATGTAGATGTCGGTGTGGGTGTGGCTACAAGTGTGGATGGCAGTGCAGGGAGAGACATGGGTACAGCTCCATGGGTGCAGGCATAGGTGTGGTTGGATAGAAACATGTAGGTGTGGGAAGGGACGTAGACATGGGCATGAATATACTTCTGAGTATGTGTACAGTGGAATCTTCCATAATAATTGATTCTTAATCTTCATCCTTTTTACCTAAAATTTCCTGAATATTTTTCTAGGTTTTTACATGTTTAAGGAAGCAAACCTGTCATAAGCGACCATGTGCAGAGTCCCTTCTCTTACACAGGAGAAGACTCTTGACTGCACAGGGCCAAAGGTGGCACTTACCTGGCCCACCCAAACCGGGCATCACATGGTGATGCAAAAGTCAGTGAGGTCCATCTGGGCCAGAGAATTAGTTGACCTTCTGACACAGAATCTATGAGGTCAATGAGAAGATTAGGTCAAAATAAAATAATCCTACAAAACGCAATGGACTTTACAGAGCCCAAGAGCAGTTTTGACATTTAGAGGTGATATATATACGTAATAATTAAGAATGCAGACTCTGTAGCTAACTGTGGAGGACTGAATCCCAGGTCTGCCACCCAGCAGGTGATGGACTCAGACAAGTTTCTTAACATCTCTCTGCCCCCATAACCTCACCCCTTAGATGGAGACAATGATGGTACCAACCTCCTAGGTTGCAGCAATGACTAAATGGGTTTCCACACGACAGGGGCTTGGAACAGTGCCTGGCACATGGAATGATCCTAGGAAGTCTTCCTTTAGGGAACACGGCAGGAGGCAGGGGTAACTCGAAGTGCAGAATAAATATTTGCTGCATATCCCTAAGAAGCCATGTGCAGATAGAACTACGGTGTAAGCCTGGTGGTAACCACCCAGCCCTCCTTCCCAGGTTGGATGAGCTTGGTCCTGAGTGCCTGGGAGGGACACCATCTTGCATGGCTCCTACTCCCCCACCATGAGCTATGAATAACCATAATCATAGATCCTCTGATCTTTATGAATCACTTCTGCTAGTCTGTGGTGTTTCAGACCCCACTGTGGTCATGCTCGTATCAAACCTGGGGGGTCTCAGCCTCTTTATAAGCAGAGTTCTGTGTTGGAAGCACAGAACCTCAAACACACGCTATTCCCACTTTGGCTGTTTTTGTTCTTTGCAGCTGAAGCCCAAGGCCCAGTGTTGTGAAATGCTTCTTCCCATTCAACACTTTGGAATGTGAACATACTTCACCACTCCCTGTAAAATATCCCCACAGGTGGATCTGATGGAGGTCTCCAGCTTTAATGGGAAGGGAACAGATCTGAGTGGAGGAAACTCTCCCCTACGTGTCACTCCTTGGCACGCAGACTCTTTCAGGTACAACTATCCCAATATTAAATGTTGGCCATTTGCCCCCACCCCTCAGCCCCTGGGATTTGCTGCTTAGCTGTTTATTGTCCACTGGGGTATGGATTTTCTATCTCACTAACCTGTGCCTTCAGTTGCTTTTCTTTTTAAAGGGAAATGTACTTGGATACAATATTGGGAACCATCCTACAGACACTAATAACTACAAATGAGTTGAGCCGAGTTGAAGTCAAACTCGAAATGCTAGGATTAGAGTGGACGGTCTCAAGGGTACAGCGAAGGTTCCAGTCTCCAGGGAGACCAAGTGACCTGGGTACTGATGCCGGCATGTGGAAGCAGAAACAAACGCAGCTGGGATCAGAGGGGACTGGGGGCTGGTGTCTGCGCTCCCAGCCACCCGTGCTCCTCAGGCCTGTGTGTGACTCTCAGCCTCTTGCTCCTTTATATGAGTCCCACCGATAGGGACTTCTGTCAGGACTGTCTGTGTGCTCATGTGCCAGATGCACAGGAAGGTCTGTCCGGCCCCAGAACACAGGCTGGGACGGTCCCTGGAGAGCAGGCTCCTGTGTGGGTGTTTCTGCATTAGCACCTTATTCCTCAGGAAACTCCATCATGGTTAAGAGCTGGTTAAATCACATCCCATGGGACTCACGACACTGGGTATTTCTGGGGTGCACGTGCTGCTGGCTGTGCTAGATACTGGGACTTGGCAAAAGAGTTTCAAGTCTTGAAACTGGCAGTTTTGTTGCAGTTTGTGAGTTCAAACATAGATCTGGAACTGTCTTTTTCATCAAAGCATCAGAGGTGGATGTAAGTCAGCTTGACTGGGAAAATCTACTCATCCAAACAACAAACAACCATTCCATGCAAGTTGTTCCCAGCCAGAGCCAGGAGATGCCGGCACATCTTTGAAGAACACAGGTTTGTTCATGACCTGTCCGCTGCCTGGCTCCATGTCTGGCCCTGGCAACCACTCAACAAAGATCTGTTGAGTGAATAACTAAAGTGGACATCTCTTCTCCCTCTCCTGCAGCCTCGAGTCTAGCGCTCAATAAAGACAATTAAGCAAGCAGTGCCAAGTTGATGGCAAGTGCGAGGGTGAGGGAAGCCCAGGGGCCCCAGGGGACCCCGACAAGGGACATCTGGACTTGAGAATGAGACGTCGCCCTTGCAGGGGGCTGTGTGCAGACGGGAGCTAGGGAGGGTGGAACAGAGTATGTTCCAACGAGGCAAAGTCCTGGAGGCGAGAACCAGAGACCGCGGTTGTAGCTGAGGGCGCGTGCCCAGCGCGCAGGGACAGAAGGCTGAGCCCGAGTGTGCAGGGCCGGGGAAGCCACACCCTGAGAGCGCGGCCAGCAAAGCATGAAGTCCCAGGGTCAGGCAGGTTTCTGGGACTAGACGGTGCCAGGCCATGAGTGGGTGGTTTAGAGGCGTGGCAGCAAAAATCAGTGGAACTGAAGTTTGTCTCCAGCTTGCCTGGCAGAGGCGCGGAAGGACACCCTGGAAAGCCCAGTTCTCTGTGTCCAGAAGCCGCAGGCGCCCAGGTCTCAGCCACGGCCCCTGCCTCCCCTGCTGCTCCTCTGCGGGTCAGAGTCGGTGGGAAGCTGTGAATTTTCCAAAGTAGTCTCGGCCATGTACCCCTGAGAGGGGCACAAGCACCTCTGGGGACTAACCACCCTCCACCACCACCATCACACACACACGCCTTCTCAGCGGACACACACACACACACACACACACACACACACACGCCTTCTCAGCTGGAACTCTGAGAAACTGGGAAGAGAGGTGAGATAAAGACGCCCGGGAACAAGGGTGAAAGGCCCCTTCGACAAGAGCGCGGACTTGTTCGTCTCCCTTTGTCTGCGTGTCCCAGCGGCCAGCGCCCTGGTGGGCTGGCGGGGCCGGCCGCGAGGGGTGGACGCAGGCACCGGGCATCCCGCTGCCCTAAGTCCACTGGGACGGGTCCTGCAGCGTCGGGCCTGTCAGAGAAGGAACTGCATCTATCCGCCACTGTTTCCCAAGGCCGGGCGCTCCTCCACCGCGGCCAGAACACACCGTGAGTGACTGTGGGGCCTTGGAAAACATCGACTTCCCTGAAAGGAGAGGCACTGACTGCGGGGGAACCCGGAGGAGGGTGTGGGCGAGGTCCCCGCGGCTGTAAGGGTGTCTCACCCCCGCCACGAAGGAGGCCTTGAGGGATCTGCCCTCCAGCCCCCAGCGCCCCCAGCTGCCTCCTGCACGTGGAGGGACGGGTGCCCAGCTTCTCAGGGCGGGAGGGGAGCAAGGGCTGCCCCCCAGGAGATGCGGGACGAAATCTCCCGTCGCCCACGTGGCCCTGCCGAGGGGCCGCTGCAGTTTCCAGCTCACCTCTTGGAGCTCGGGAGTCCCTAGCGGTCAGCCGCAGGCACCTCTTTAGGGTGTGAAGCCCTGAGATGCCTAAAGCCATGACGCAGCCTCCGGAGACCCAGCCTGGGGCAGACTTTGTGCAGCTAGTCCCGCACCTGTGCTCGCCAGTAACTCTTACCCCGAACCTCGGCGCCGCAGCGCCTCCCACCCAACCGCACCTGCCGCCTAACACACATGCGGGCGCGGGCGCGGGCGCGGGCGCGGGTGCAGCCCGCAGTGTCCCCACGAAGGGGCATGGGACCAAACAGGGTGTGCAGGGAGCGCAGGAAGCCGAAGAAAGCAAAGGCACCCAGGACTTTGGGGAGCGGAGAAGAGCCCCAAGTTTGAGAGAAAAGGACACACTAGGCACTGACAGCGTGCCAAGCTGCAGACTCCTCCTGCGTAAGCCGAGAGTGGTAACATTTCGCTGCTATTTATGGCGACTGGAGGATAAAATGAGAGCATCCTTTCAAAATACACAGAACATTGCAATCTGCACTCAGGATATTTTTGAGTAGCTTTAAGCACTGAAGTCTTGGGAAGAATTCTCACCTGGGGTTACTTTGGTTCCTTAATTGGCTGGTCAGAGGGCTACATGAAGATAGAACTGAGAGGCTGAGATACGTTCACTGCCACCTGCTGGCAGAAAAAAAGTTTGACCCTTAACTTTAGAAAGACCACAGACCCTGAACCGAAGATGGACACCTCAGGGACTCCGCCGTCTCCTCTGACCTGGGTTTCAGTCTTAAACGGGCCGATTGCTCTGCTCTCTCTGGTCAGGGGTCAGCACAAGAAAAAAGGGGACAGAAGCAGGGTCACAGAGCCAGGGTGAGGCAAGCCTCAGGGGCCTCCTCGGTGCTGGCAGAGCCCCTGTCCCGGGTGTGGCCGTGTGCTTGTGAGTGGAGCCTCGGCGAGAACCAGACCCTGGATCCCGGGCAGTCCCCTGACTTCCTGCTTTGCACAGAAGACTGGAACTGCTCGCCCCAAAGTGTAGCGCAAATAGATTTCTCATTCAAGTCTCTCTCTCCATTTCTTCCTGAAAACCCATGAAAATGACAGTTTAAAAGTATAAAAGGAATAAAATCATAACAGTGCTGAGAACAGGATGGGAGATGTCAGAAGACTAAAACTTGTGATAAATTTGGGGGAATTTAGGGAGCTGGAGGGTGGATGGGGCCATACTGGTGGATAAACAGACAAAGGGGTGCCCCAGCCCAGGGCACACAAGAGAGAAACCTGGGGTAGAGCCCCCAGGGTCAGCAGGACGGAAGCCAGGATGGAGGGAAGGAGGAAATTGGGGCGATCCACATGAGAACTACCTGCAGAACCACGGCATGGTCCACACAGCCCCACCGAGAATGCCTTCCTCCGAGCACCAGGAGGAGCCAGGACGACCCCACTGAGACCACACCCCAGAGTAAATCCCCTGCCACTAGCCTGTTCACATCCTGCAGGTGATGTTCCGTGACCAGTGTGCACCCTCCACTCACTGAGAGCCGCCCAATCAGGCTTGTTCGTTCAAAAGAGCATCTGCCTGCTAGACCAACCACACCCTCTCCTCCCTCAACATGTACCAGTGGAAAATCTAGGTTCATGTAGCATTTGAGGGAAATGAGCTACACCAACAGGAAGGAGAAAGATCAACAGAACCATTGACTTTGGAGAAAACAAATGATTCAAGTAAGAGGACAGAATTTTTTAAAAACTGAATTTGCCTTTAGAGAAGTTGCACAAGAAGATATGGAACCATGAATTCAAAAACAGTTTGCTATGAAAAGAAGGCAATGAAAAGGTAAATAAGTCACAGAAATGAAAAATACACTGCCAAATTAAAATTCAATAGAAAACATGAAGAAAAGAAAAAGTTGAAGAAGTCTTCCAGAATGTCCAACAAAAAGATAAGGGGGAGAACATATGAAGCGAGAGATTAAGAGACAGAGAGTCAATTCAGGTGGACCGACGCACAACAAATAGGAGTCACAAACAGAGACACCAAAAGAGGAAAAGGAAAAATAACCAAGGACACGATAGAAGACCATTTCCCACAGTTGAAGAACGTATACAGTGGAAAGCTGGTGTTCCCAACTGTTCTGGCCTGTAATGAACATACAAAGGGCTAGAGCTCCAGCAGCCATGCTGGGCCATGAAGTGATCTCACGAGTGATAGAAGCCTTGGCTCTTTATGGCAGCCTGGATCCCCACTCTAGCCTTGAAATGTCTGCCTCCAGACTTTTTCTGTAGAAGAGATACAAACATTCATGTTGAGTGAGTCACTGTTGTTTGCAGGTTTTCTGCTTTATGCAACATGCCAAATTCTAATTCTGTGCTGTCCAAGATGGCACTGACTACTAGCACATATGCTAATTTAAATGTAAATGTGAATTACATTAAGTGAAAAATTAAGGTCCTCAGTCACACTGGCCACATTTTAAATGCTCAGTGGCCACATGTAGCTAGGGGCTGCTGGAATGGGCAGAAAAGATTTGGAACCTTTCCATCACTGTGTAAAGTTCTGCTGGACAGTACTGCCTAACAGATGCAAGTTCCTTCCCACAGAGATGCTTACATTCTGGTAAAGGGCAGAGAACCATCTGCTCTCTGAAGTACCTGGCAGGACGTGTGCCATCCTCAGGGGTGCCTATGGAGATCATAACAGATTCACAGAGGAGACGTCAGGGTGCCCTTTAAGGCTCACGTGGATGTGGAGAGGGTATTCCTGGAAGACAGAACAGCTTACACAAAGTCTGGAAGCAGAAAAGCACAAGGTATGTTTGGTGTACTCTCATTTTGTTGATGTGTGAGATGACTGGAAGATTAGCTCATGTTTGGGAGAATCCTGAAAGTAAAGGTAAGACCAGGTACTTAGAAAGGCATGCTCTGGGGATATCGAGGCTTCTGAACAGAAGGAATGAATTGTCAGAGCAGCATGTCACAGGAGGTCAGCACAGGAAGAGACCGGAGGTAGTCTGGACATTAAGACAAAACCCAAACTTGATGAGACGGCCGTTTAGTGGCAGTGGGGATGGAAGAAGAGGCAAAGCATGAGAGGTCTGGGTGGCACGTCCCAGAGGGTCTTCCAGCTGATTCTACAGAGATGCCAGGGGTGAGAGAGGACCCAGGTGACCCTGCTGTCTCTGCACTTTATGGAAATGTTTTTACTAATGCAGGGAGTGGGAAGAGGACCTTATAAGGCAAGGTTTGAGATGCTAGGTGTGCAGTGCCCCGAAACACCAGGCAGACGCTCGGAAGAGAAGTTAAGGCTGGAGGTGGAGGGCTTGGGAATCAGAGCCCAGAGATAAAGTCACATCACAGACATCGGTGGGACCACTGAGAGAAAGGTCATGAAGGGAGAACTCTAACAGCACGACTCAAGGTGAGCCTCAGTGTGGGAGACAGGAGAGACAGGAGAGCCGGAGAAGGGAAGGGATGTGGTCCAGAGCGGGCAGACAGTGGTCCCGGCCACTCCAGAGGCGGCAAGGAGGCGGGGAGGGTGTACGGACTTGCTGGGCTCAGCTCCTCAGCCGGGGCTGATTCGCAGGCACAGAGTGTATTGGACCACGGCCATGTGTTTTAAAAGAGAGAAGAAAATGAAGGAAAACTTCCAAGGGCTTCCTAGTTCCTCTAAAACAAGTGTAACACAGATTCTTCCTCTTGGCCCTCAAGACCCCCATAACCCCATCTCTACAATTTCTAGCACGTTTCGTGACTTTCTGCTTTTGCCCCAACGTGTACCCTTGGCTCTAGTCAGGCCATTTACCCAGATTTTACCCAAGTGCTTTCCCATCCTGCTCTGCCCTTTCCTCCACAGCTGCCCAAACCCAACCCGTCCTTCAAGGGTTTATGTAACAGCCTCATGTATTAACCTCCCCGATTTCACTAGCGCCAACATTTCCTCTCAGACGCTGCACAACAAGCATTCTCAGTGGGGAAGGAGACAGCCCAACGCCTCGGGGGCATTTCCACACTTACCCCCACCCAGACTCTGCCATGTGCCACGCAGCCACCTGTGGGCGTCAAGCCCTCCAAGGCGTTGCGAAGCCTGGCTTCCTGCTCCCGACGCAGAGCGCCAAGCAGCTTTCTGACACCAGCGGGGTGCCGGACAATGCAGCCCAGCCCTGGCACCACGGACTCGAAGCAGACTGGGCTCCCACACTCCAGATACCACGTGGAAGTCCAGCTGTCACCTGTGCTTCTGACCCACTGGCTATAAATCCGAGGTTCCCAACGACCACTCCTTGGGTTTGATTATTTGGCTAGAGAGTCACAGAACTCGGAGGAACATTTTACCTACGAGATTGTACATTTATTACAGAAGGATGTACTCAGGGACAGCCAGATGGAAGACAGGCCCAGGACAAGGTGTGTGGGAAGGGCGCAGAGCTTCTTTGCCCCTCTAGGCACCACCTTCCAAATCTCCACACGTCCACCAACCCAGAAGCCCTCAGAACCCTGTCCGTCAGGGGATTTACAGAGGCTTCAGGACACTAGCGCAGCTGATTTAAGCACTGGCCACTGGCCGTTGAACTCCATCTCCAGCCCCTCCCCTCCCCAGTGGTGGGACTTGTGGGGTGTGGTTCTGAGAATTCCAACCCTCTCATCACAGGTTGCTTCTTCTGGTGACCAGTCCCATCCTTGGGTGATTCCAAACCCTTCGGGAGCATTCCAAAGTCACCTCATTAACCAAACAAAAGACGCCTTCATTGCTCTCATCACTTAGTAAGTTCCAAGTCTGAGGAGTCTGGGCCAGGAATGGGACCAAGACCAAGTACATACTTCTTGGTAAACGTCACTAGGAAACTCTGTGCCACACGCTCACCCGGTGTAACGGTCCTGTTAGCGCCGGAGGACGGGACACTGACCGGCCACTCTCCTGGCATCGAGCTGAGCACACGACAGCTGCTGCCCCCAGTGTCCGTCCACCCCTCTCAGGCCCGCAGGAGGGTCGGTTTCTCCTGCCACTTTGAAGTTAGGTCACAGGACTTACTCTGACAACGAACGTGTGCAGGAAACAGAAACTCACGAGTACACGTGTCGGGAGGGGCTCGCGCGTCCCCAGCCCCAAGGGACCGTGAGCCCCACTGTCTTGTGCTGAGCACGCAGAACGATGAAAGCGCGACCCTGGGCTGGGTCTGAGACGTGGGAGCGCTTTGTTTCACAGGGTGGCCCTGGCTCTCAAAGCAGGGCCTTTTGACAGACAGCATCTGGGAACTTGCTAAAAACTGCAAAACCTCAGTTCCTGCTCCAGACCCACCAGATCTGAACCCAAACTGCAATAAGCTCTCTCGTACTTCAAATAGCCACTCACGTCTGAGAAGCCCTGCCTAGACCATCCGGACAAGAACAGAAACTGTTACTTCCAAGAGGCAGAAATCAAAACCCAGGCTGGGGGCTCCGAGAGCAAGAAGGGGGCAGTGCCTGTTATGGGGGCAGGGGGCGGGGGGCGCTTGGCTGATGGTGGTGTACCTGGCTTTACAGGAACTGTCAGAACCCGGGATGCCAGTCACGTGGGGGCCGCTGTCGGCTGCATTTAACGAGATCCTTCGAGAAAGATACGATAAGGAAAGGACGACCTAAAGGAGCAGGAGTGAAAGGGAAGCGAGGTTGTGGTGCACAGAGCACCTGAACTGTAGGCTGGAAACAGGACGGCAAATTTTATGTTGTGTGTATTTTGCCACAAGTTTACAAATAAATAAATAGGATTCTTCAATGATACACTTGAAGCCATCTTTAAAACCCTTTTTTCAAGAAAACCCAGAGTTGGAGACCTCAGAATGGGAAGATACAACCGTTCTCAACCCATCAAGTAAAAGACAAAATTAAGAAAGCTGAACAACACAGGTGGGTTAAAGCTCAGATCTGACACCAGGACCAAGTCAAGGAGCGGCTTTCACTGCGCTGCAGGTAGTCCGGGTGCGCCAGGAAGCTGCCTCTGTGGAGAGTCCCAGGGGCTCATCAGGAGGGTCCAGCGAGGCCCTTCAGTTGGGCAGAAAGGCTCAGGGAAAAGAGCCTAACACGATCCTCCTCCGGGTCGGGCAGACTCGAGCCCATGCAATTAAGATGAGAGAAAGAAACAGGCCCGGGGGCGAAAGGGAAAACGGACGGCAAGCCTAGGAGACGAGAGGCCTTGTCGGCCCCGGGTCGCTGCTGGGCCTGGGGTGTGAGGCCGCGTCCCTCACTCACCCCATGCCCGGACGGGCGCATCTGTGTGGCCCCCGTTCCACCGCCATCATATTGGGGAAACCATCAGATAAGCTGTCCCGTGAGCTGGTCTCCAGACCACGAGGTGTGATCTCTGGGCCTGCTGCAGAGACACTTCCTCTCTCACCGCACACATCCCAGCTCGCGTTCCCACAGACCGGGCCTCCTAAACTCACGTGTAGTTACGTGCATGATCTCGAACTGGGGCACTGTTTCCAGCGGCACACCTAGTGCACTCACGCCTGGGAGAGTCCGTCCCCAGAGCTCCAGGACGGCAGATTCTCTGACAGTGCTGCCTCCAGCCCCACTGAGCGCTGCCGGACAAGACCCACAGAAGACTCACCGGCTTCCTGAAAGACAGACTTTCGGACCACACACAGTGTCAAGTGTGCGACTTCATTTTACTTTCAGGAGCTCAATCGTTTGGCTCTGAGGAGCAGCCACCCTGCAGGCAGCAGAGGCTGTTGAGGAAACACCACCAGGGTTCACCTGCAAACGTGCCTTATTTCCCAGCAGCTGCTCGCAGACTGGCCGAAGGACCACAGGCTGAATGAACATCACACGTCAGTGACTGGTTCAGATGGGCTGTCTGCTCCTTGTTTTATTAACCATTTCTGAACACACATTTTTACATCAAATAAAGTTCCTACAGAAGCAGAAAGAGCTAATAAACAATACCGTACCACGGTTACCTGGGTTTTTGTCTGGGGGACTTTGTGCTGGGATCCCGAGGTTGGCTCATTTACAGGTGGTTACCGGGTCTCCGTGCACACGCACTGCTTCCCAATGAAGACATGTCTAAACACTCGGGTTATTTCTGCCTATTAATAATAGAGATAACAGACATCTGTGCATCTCCTTAAGGACTTTGTGGAAGAGGTCAGACCTTGTCTGCAGTCACGACGCACCCAGAGCAGCGAGTCAGCCTGGCTCCCAGGTGGAGCCAGTGTAAACCCCAAGGGCCGAAGTTTCATTCCACCCACGGGATCGGGCCCCGGTGAGCTCAGTCAGCACTCAGTGAGCACTGCCGGGCAGCGGGCTGAGGACACTTCTGTTCAGCAACACGAACATCAACGGAGTGCTAGAAACTGTTGTGGCAGCATGGCCACCAAGGCAAGCTGGGCGGCGAGAGGCCAGCATTGACAGAGCCTGGGCTCCTAGGTGCCCACGCAACACGGGTGGCGGGTCCACATGCCTGCACGGAGCTCACCCACGCTTACACAGGAACGTTCAGCTGAAAAAGCAGGAAGCATCCGAGGGCTGGCTGCCCCTCACAGCTCAGCTGTCAACGAGCAGCCAGCCTACCTTTTCCCAAAGGTGTGCTGTCTCTGCTCCTGCTCACGTCTGCACTGAGCTGCCGGCGGGGTCAGGTCTACAGGCTGTTCACGCACTGCACCAGGAAGGCCCCTGCCCCGTAGGCCTCACACTCGTCAGCAAGTGACCCTAACATTTACACATTTCCTTCACTGGGCACATCCAGACACGAATATCCAAAATAAGAGAGACAGAATTAACACCAAAAGTAAGAATGGAATTCAGAACTGAGGGCCAAGCCTTTCACATCAGACGCGGTCACTGGGACGAGAGAGACGCACCCAAGGCCCACACCTGCTCCGGGGCAACGCAGGTACCCTCTGCCCTGACCTCTGCCCTGACCGCTGCCCTGACCGCTGCTCTGACCGTGGCTCTCCACACCCTCTCCAAGCACTGACCTCCATTTGCAACCGTCCTTTAGAATACATAGACAGTCCCTGTGGTGCTTTCCAAGATTCAAGTGCTCCCACATTTTCTCATCAGTTCTGATGACTGTTCTGTAAGGTCAGCACCAGCACAGATGTAGGGCCTGAAATGAGCTGATTAAGGTGACATCACCCATTAGTGGCAGAGTCAGGACTGACCTCACGTTCCCTCACTCCCTCCTACACTGGAGAAGATGAGGCTCCCTGGGTTAGAGGTGGGGCCCCTGACCTACTCTGGCTGCTGGAGTCAGATTGCAAAGTGCAAAGACAGTGATGGGGTTTCAGACCCCAAGATCCCAGCTGAGAAGGTCAAAGGTAGCTTGGCTGTGGGGTGGGCTACATGCAGCCCAGAGGTGCCTGGAGTCCTCACACACCCCCAGAACACTCATTTGGAAACTCCGGACTGAGTCAGAACGAGACAGTAAGAAAGAGTCACAGAGACTTTCATCTCACATGAGGCAAGTTCTGCGGCACAAAGTTTTATGTCTGGGTAAGTGCAAAAATGTGATTGACAGAAGCATAATCAAAGAAATTCCACCCTTGCACAATCATGGACACAAGCACTGAAACCAAACGTCCAGGACAGGAGAGCTGTAGGGATGGCCCACGGCAAACGAGCAGGAAATTTCAAATGGAAAGAATTTGATCGCTCTGCCCTGAAACGCATGTGTAACTCCCAAGGGCATCACTCAAAGTTACAGGCCTCCTCCTGGGGGTGTTCACAGATTTTCTGTCACGTGCCTCCGTGCTCATCAGCTGAGACCTGCTCCACATCCCTGACTACACACCTCGCAGACGGGGACATGTGGACTCCAGAAGGGGGTAGGGGCAGGGGCAGGGGCAGGGGCAGGAGCAGTGAGAAACCGCCAGACGTCCCCAGAACGGAGAGGTGGCCTGTGTGCATCTGACCCGATGACCGCCCGGGGCATCTGCATCTTAAGCACAGATTAGAGGTGGAAAAAAGGACGCGTGATGGTGTCCGGTTTGGGCTGCCCTGGCCGACCCGGTCACGAGGGCAGTGAAGGAGCTGCAGAGAGGCGGCTGTCCATGGAGAACCTGCCCAGGGACCGGCAGGGCACTCTGACGCCGTGCAAGCACAGGATCTCCTTGAAGGTCTTGCGCATCTCCGGGCTGCGGAAGGCATAGATCAGTGGGTCGATGGCAGAGTTACATATGATGAGCACGAGGTACACGTTGAAGTGGGACATGAAGCAGGAGCAGTAGCGGTTCTGAGGGCAGGAGATCATGAGGGTGAGGTGCAGGAAGAAGGGCGCCCAGCACACGGTGAAGACGCCCAGCAGCATGGCCAGGGTGACCACTCCCCTCATGCTGGCGCGCTGCCGCCCGGAGCCGCAGCCATGCAGGGCGGCCATGCGCTTGACGTGAGTCCGGGCCAGGAGGAACATGTGTGTGTACAGCCACGCCATGAGCAGCAGCATGGCGAGGAACATGGCGACGAGGCAGCCGACGACGTACGTGGACTCGTAGTACCTGATGAAGAGCGTGCCGCAGCCCGTGCACAGGGCCCAGATGCCGGCGATGGCGGCCCCGCAGCGCCGCCCCGTCATGACGTGGTGGTAGCGCAGGGCGTAGAAGATGGTGGCGTAGCGGTCCACCGCGATGGCCAGCAGGCTGCACATGGAGGCCACCACCGAGATGCAGATCATGGAGTCGAAGACGTTGTCCAGGTGCCGCACGGAGGCATCCGCCAGCACCAGGTGCTTGTTGGAGATTAGGTATATGGTGATGGTCTCCCAGGAGTTGGACAAGCTCACCAGCATGTCGGCCACGGCCAGGCTGCACACAAACAGGTACATGGGGGCATGAAGGTTCTTGTTCTTCACGACAGCGCCAACCACTAGGATGTTCTCCAGCAGGCTGAGGAGGCCCAGGCCGAGGAACACCTCCACAGCGATGTTCATTTTCTCGCAGGGCAAGGACGTGTTCCTGATGTTCCATCCCGAGAGGTCGCCCTCTGTGGCATTCAGCTTGAGGTCCAAGAAATGCAGGTGGAATGAGGAATTCATGGCTCCTCTTCTTGGCAGCAGATTTACTGTAAAACAGGTTTAAGTCATGATCCCGAGGGGCTGACAGTCCACAGAAGCACCATCACTCGTGCCCAGAGCACAACACTCCAAGCTCCACGCACCCCTGCCTGCCCCAATCCCAGGGATAGAGTCCGGCCTGCCGGCGGGCAGGCATGCAGTGCCCACCAGCCTCCTCTGACCCCTGGCTTAGGCTCCCTCTGAGCAGAGTCTTGGGACATCTCTGTGTGCCCCCCCAGCCCCCTTTTTATTCTCGCCTTGCAGCCCAAGCTGACTGTCAAACACGTCCCCAGCTCACAATCTACAGAAGCCCTTCCAGTCTCCTGGCCTCACATCCCAAGGTGACTACTCCACGTTTCCTCAGGTGGGCACAAGAAGGACACACAGGTCCCCAGTCTCTGAAGAGACACAGACAGGTGCCTCCCTGCCCAACCTGACTCTGTCGAAATCCCTAGGACTCAGTACCCGTGGTTGTAACTAAGATTATAGTCCATTAACTAGAGCATAATCACATACAAGACTTAATGCCTTTAATTCATAAATTTAGGTTTCACACACACTAAAATTGAAGCACACAGAATGCTATTTTTCCCACAGTTAAAACTTTCCCTGACTTTTGCATCTGAAATTCCAGAATCTGATTAACAGGCAGTTGGACAAGTTCTGCATAAGAAAGCACAAAGAAACGAGGCACTTATACTCACCAAGAACTCCCCTCCTTTGTGGCCCAATTTCTCTCCCATGATTTATATTCAAAGATCCCTTTGCCCTCCAAACTCAGAGCACATCAGGAAAGAGTTGACATTTCAACAACGTCCCCACTAGACTGTAATCACCTGTTCTGTCCCGGAACTACAGGCCGACTGCACTGATGTGCGAGCCCCCAGCTGGGTCAGCCGCAGTCTGCATCCTCTCAAGCAGACGGAGTGAATGAGAAGCGGGGCTCTTTACCGTCTCCCTCGGCCTCTCCTCTGCACCGGACCCCGCGAGCCTCACTCGGACCCCAGCTCAGCCCGGGCACCGGCATCCACAGGCTGCGATGACCCAAGTGCCATCAGCCCGGGACCAGGACCCGTGGCAAGGCGTCTCCAACCTCCTCGCAGCTCCCTTGCCTTTAAAGCAGCCGCGCGGGCCCGCCTCCTGCCGCCCGCCCGCCCTCCTCTGCGGCCGCGGGCCAGAGCTACCACCTAGTGGTCGGAGCCAGAGAGCAGGGCCTCTGGGGCACCAGCACCTTCTACTTGTGGAAAACTGGAAACTGTTCTCCAAAGTGAGTTCGAATGTGTCTCCTAGTGGCTGCTCCCTCAACTTCACTTCTTCTCTCTTCCTCCACACACGATGGACGTGCTGGGACTCGGGCCCCTGGTGCCCTGACGACCGTCCTCGGAGCAAGCCTGGTGGCCTTCAGCTGTGACCCAGACACCCCACCCTGCTGGCCCAGGACGCCCCCTGCAAGGGCTGCGCCGCATTAGGTCCAGCCCTGCAAACATGCCTCTGGTACTGCAGCAGCAGAAGAGAGACTTCCCCCAGCCACCCCTCTTGGCTCTGCGCAGTAGTTTCTGGACCTCCCGTTTCAAGCACTGACGGGGCAGATGTGCGTGGGCTCCCCTTCTGTCAGGTGAGGCGGGGGCGCCCACAGGCTCCGACCACCTTTTTGACGTGGAAGGCCCCAAGCACCGGTGCCCAGGGCCATGCACACAGCCGCAGGATGGAATTCTGTGAAGAAGTTTCTTGTGGTGAGGCTGGTGCTGTGTCCATGCGAAGGAGGCCGACAGAAAACATAAGAGGATTCGAGCAGCCCTGACTTCTTCCTCACATTCCAGATCAGATTGGGCTCTGCCAAAGATCCTGGTTCCCCCAAAACGTGGTGAAAGTGGAGCCTTCTGTTAGAAATAGTCAGCTGCCCAGACCACGTGGCACAGCCGCGCCGTGGACCGCACAGCCCTCCCGCCCCCGTGCAGACGGCTGGGGGGAGCGCTGCACCCGTTACCTTCCTGGCAGGTGGGCCCTCTCACCACCTCTGCCGCACAAGGAGCAGACCAGCCCCTGGAGAGGCTGCACAGCGAGTCCAAGGCCCCGACGCGGGGAAGGAGCACAGCCGGCGTGCAAAGCCTGGCAGCCCAGCTGGGAGCCAAGCGTTTTCCAGGCACGACGATGCCGCTGCTCAGGGTCCTGGCGGTCTTTCGGTTCCTTTTTTCTTTTTTAGTGCCGCTGGGTTTGAAGTGGTTTTCTTGTCTTTATCAGATTTCGGTATCAGGCTACCCTGGCTTTGCTAAGTAAACTGGGGAAAGGTTTTAATTATTTTCAATTCTGAACCAGTTTGAGTGAGGTGGAAATTATCTGTTTCTTGCAGAATACTCCAGCCGAGATCAACAGACTCAAAGACTAAGCTCTCCAACGGTCCCTGCCCCTGAAACTTGCTTCCTGACAGCTCCGTGATAACCACGCTCCACACGCGGACACGGCATCCCAAGAGACACCAGCTCCACCCTCAGTGAGGGGCAGAGAGCCGTTCAAGCGCCCACTTCCTTCTGTTCTGGTGTGTAAATGACGGCAACAGAGATGACCCTCGATTCAAACACACAGAGACGGCTTGCGCGGGCAGGTCCACGAAGGCCCCAAGGGTGAGATCTGTTGGACAGCGCATGCCGTAGTTGGCTCTCTGGGACACGGACTCAGAGGAGCTCACTCTGCAAGGTCCATCACGGAGCAGCTGGGGACCACAGCCTGGGGTTGGGGAGAGGAAGAGGCAGGGTGACTGGGTGGGCCCACAGCGCAGCCCACCCTCCTCAGAGCCTCTCCACCCTGCCTGGGTCAGTCACCAAAGCAGTCTGTCCCTGGGAAGGCGAAAGGCCTGGCAGGCACACCGCGGGAGCTGACTGCCCCCTGCAGCTGGGCGGCAAGCCCTTCCTCGCAGGGGTCTGGGCAGCACTACCCTGTGCCTGAGGCTCAAATGTCAGTACATTCTTTTTTCCCAGCTTTACGGAGATATTACTGACACACAACGTGTACATTTAACGTGCGCAACGTGACGCTCTGGTGCACATGCACGGTGGGAAATGAAGCCCACGGTAAGGCTAGTTCACTCGTCCATCGCATCACAGAATCACCTTGGTGATAGCGTTTAAGCTCTACTCTCCTAACTTCCAAGTACAGAGGACAGTGTCCTTAGCTGTTGTCACCCTGCTGTGCATTACACCCCTGGAGCTCACTCTATTCCACCTAGAAGCTTGTGCTCTGACCGACGTCAGCGCTTCCTCACCCCCGGCCCCTGGCAACCACCACTCTACTCTCTGTTTCTGTGAATTCGGCTTTTTTTAGCTTCCACATTTCACTAAGGTCACACGGTACTTTTCTTTCTCTGACTTCTTTCACTTGGCATAATGCCCTCAAGGTCCATCTTTATTGCAAAAGGGTTTCCTTTCTTCATGGCTGAATAATACCCTATCGTGTGTGTGGAATGTTTTCTTTACCCAGTCATCTGTGGACGGACACTTAGGCTGTCTCCATGTCTTGGCTGCCGTGAATAGTGCTGCAGTGAACGTGAGGGTGCAGGTGTCTCTAAGAGACATTGACTTCATTTCCTCGGGATGTACGCTCAGGAGTGGAATTGCTGGATCATATGGTAGTTCTATTTTTAGTATTTTGAGGAACCTCCATACTGTCCCCCATAGGGGCTGCACCAGTTTATATTCCTGCCAACAGTGAACAAGGGGTCCCTTTTCTCCACACCCTCTGCAGCATTTATCCCTTATCTTTTTGATGACAGTCACCCTAACAGGTGTGAGGTGACAGCTCCTTGTGGATTTGATTTTCAGCAACTGCTTGCATCCCATCTCTGTGCCGAGGCCACCTGAACACCATTGTGGGTGCAGCTGCAGAGGCAGAGCCTCCCTGTAGGACAGAGACAGCAGCACAGCCACAGGCATTTTACCTCCAAGGTGCACAAGACATTTCCACGTATGAACTCACTGGACCCTCACAGCAGCCAGGAGGTGCTGACAGTGTTGCCGTCTTCATAGACGTGGACCCCGAGAATCGGAGAAGCGATTTTCTGGTATCACTTGGCTGGTAAGCGGTGGCACCAGCCATCTAGCCCAGAGCTTCCTGTTCCAAAGCCCCTGTTTATAAATACACACATGCCCACATACCTGCATGAACATTACAGTCGAGCCCTCAATTAGCCCCAAATCTCCAATGAACATTTACTGAGCACCTGCAGTGCCCAAGGTGGTGGTCTGCAGGTCCAGAGTGTCAGCAAACCTCCAACAACCCTAGGAACCCAAAGCCCTTAGCAGGAGCTTCCAGAGGAGGAAACTGAGGCTCAGAGTAGCCCTGTGACTTCTCAGCTGATGAAACCGGGACCTGAGCTTTTCACGTCTGTGCTTCACAGAGTGTCTAGTGTCATCCTGTGACTCGGCCACTGCCACAGAGGGAGAGACTGTGCCCTGGTCTGCAGAGTCGCTGGAGAAGAGCAGAGGCAGGGCTGAATCTAAGGGCAGGTTGGGGGAGGCGGGACCAGGAGCAGAACAGGGGCTGAAGGTGAGCAGGGCCAACGGGGGCAGGGGCACTGAGGCCAAGGGCTTACTTCTCGGGGAGAGGGAAGACCACCAGGTGACCAGAGCCCCAGAGCCAGGATCCAGGGGGCCAGGTAGAAGCAGGTGCAAGGGGTGAAGACAAGACAATGGCAGAGGGGTCACGGGGCCTGCTACTGCAGGAAACAGGCCCTGAGGCCGCAGCGCCGAGATGGGATCACACAGCTGCTTACTGAGGAAGTGGGGGTCTGTGCAGGGTTGGGGAGGCATGCGGGGGCAGCAGAAGACGTGGCTTCAGGATGTCTGGCCTCAACCTGCTCCCAGGGCAGACCTGGGGTTAAGCTGTCCTGTCCATACATGAGTGCTGGGTGGTCATACCCTCCACATCTGTAGCGTTGGCCGCCGGCCACCCAGGGGTGAAGAAATGCAATCCCCTAGGTGTTTCACAGTCGTGGCCCCACTCAGCTGAGAGCAGCCCTCCATAAAAGAGGAGACACGTAGAGGTGCCAGCAACCAGCGTCTGCCGCAGCTAAGACCCGGGCATCCAGCCCCATAAGGTGGGCACAGCGGTGACCACCCCCCCACCACCAGGGAGCGAGGGGGACAGTGCCCTGGGGTCCTGTACTGGCCACCAGGAAGGCCACGGCTCCACCCTGTGAAAGAGGAGCCACGGCAGGAGATGCGTGCCTGTGAGCATCACGGGGGGACGTGTGGAGGCCACTGGGCGTGGAGGTCTCAGGGCATCTGAAGGATGGAGCGCGTGGGGTCGTCGGCTGGAGGAGCACCCAGAGGACATGGACACTGGTGTGAGGAGGAAGCAGGAGGGACGGGGGGGGGTGTCCTGGAGGAGGGGGCGCCTCACAGACCTACTCCAGGACGTCACCGAGATGCTGCCAAGAAGGTGCTGCTGGCTGGGGCGGGGCAGTTTCTGCCGCGCGGAAGCCAGACAGTGCGGCTGAGACGTGGGCGGAGCTGCAGCAGACCTCGGGTGGCCGAATCCCACGCCTGCTCTTCCTCCTCGTTGACTGGACCCGTTTTACTTGTGCAGTACAGCTCCGTCCGAAGCCGTGGTGTCGAAGGAAAGGAAGCGAAAGGCAGCAGGCAGACTGGCCAAGGTGACCGGCCGGGGTGGTGGGGCGCAGGCAGAGGCCGTCTGTTCGGGTCGTTTGTCAGGAGGCTTGAGGACTGGAGGCGGACAGCATCGCCACTGAAGCCCACCCGGAGAACAGGAGAGCACCAGAGGCACTCTGCCAGCTCAGTGCCGACAGCTGTCCTTTCTCCCGAACTTAAGGTGAACGCTGCTACCCAAGAGTGAGGCACCTGTCGCCACCCGGACCCTGACAGACGCAGCACTGTCACTGCTAGCAGAGAACACCAACACCCCTCACTGTTCCCGTCGGCTCCAGGGCTCCTTAATGAATCCCCGGGAAACTCAGGTCGTGAGCTCGAGTGACTTGGATCCACTTTCCCGCTGCTCATCTGCCCTGATACGGAGCCCCGAGCACTCCAGCCCCACCTGCCGCTCGGCCTGCAGCACGTGTGTCCCCAGACTGTGGAGAGGGGAGGCCCCTCAGCTCTGGCGACTGTCTGCTGTGCTGACAGGAACCCCACTTTCCTGTGCAGGGAAATAAACTTCCTGTCCCTCTGTGGCCCCTTGACCCTTTAAAAAATCATTCAAGAAGGTAAGAATCTCCTTTCTGAAACTCTGTGCTATCTTCTTGTGTCTACATCATTGAAACACTGACGTCACTCCCAGGAAACAGCTTCAAAATGCACAGTCCTTGCTAGTCAACGGGGCTACATCCGAGCAACTGATGTAAGTATTCCCGCTCCTGTCCTTCCCTGTCTCACGCAGAGGGGAAACAAACTCTCTGTAACGTAGAATCTCACTGATTCTTCATACGCAGTATCTTCTGTGAAGCCCTGAATGGAAAATGTAGAGCGTTCCCAAGCTTACCAGATTGAGAATACTTTCTCCACAGGGCGCTTGTGTGTATTAGGGTGTTTGGTAGCAAGCAAACAACACGCCCCCAAAACACACAGTAAACAATACAGGATTTGTTATCTCACATCAAACGTGTGGGGGTTCTACCTGTGTTCTGCCAGACCAGGAAATCCAGAACAACGCTCCCGCCAAGAACGGGAAGGTCCCAACACAGTATACTTTTTACATCTCTGAAGGCACGTCAGAATTACGGGTCTAGGAACTGAGAGAAGAAAGAAACCCACAGAAGCGAACCCACTCTGGGACAGGTTTTACCCCAGAGCACCCGGTGATTCGGAAAGAGGCCACTAAGAGGCTGAAAACCCAAGCAGGGTGTTCAAAGACTCCGCGCTCGGAGGCAACTGTAACCCAAGCCCCTTCCGCGGCTGGGTCTGCAACCCCAAAGGGCTTCACTCTAGGAAGTGTAATTCTAGGAACAAGGATAGACTAGAAAGAAACAGACCGGCAAGCTGAGACTCACACATGAACCGACTCAAATCCTAAGTGGATTACGATGATTTGGAGTCCTCGGTGCCTCTACTCAGACGGACTATCAGAAGCAAAAACAAGTTTTCTCTGGAGGACGACAATAGGACCAGGAGCCCTGAATTGCTTCTGTGATTCTTCAGACACAGTGCCAGCAGCCAATCAAAAACATCCAGCAGACAACGGAAACAAACCAGACGGGATCCAATGGGGCAGCTATTTGGACAGAAACTTAGCACAGGGAACACATTAAATGTAAATAAAGCAAACGCCTCAATTAAAGACTGAGAGACTTGCCACACAAGATTCTGAAATACGATACACTGCTTAGAAGAGACACACCTTAAATATAAGGGCACAGGAAGTTTGAAAGTAGAAGAATGGAGTAAGTTGTACCATGCAAATATGAACTGGGATACCTGAAGGCAAAAAGCATAACTAGAGATAATGAGATTTACTTTGTAATTATAAAGGTTCAATTCACGGAGAAGAATTAACAGTTGTAAATGTGCATGGACCTACACACGCATGCACACAAACTCTTCACCAGCAGATTTGATCACCTATCACATGTTTAAAGAAGATACAATGCCAAGAGCTTATAAATCTCACGGATGGTATAATGCCAATCTCTCACGAACTTTTCTACCAGATAGAAAAAGAAAGAAAACCTCCCTGTGAGCTTTATAAAGCATGTATAACCTTGCTACCAAACCTGACAGGGGTTACAAGAAAGGAAAATTAAAAGTCAATCTCATGTATGAACAAAGATGGAAAAATCCTAAACAGAATGTTAACAAACTGAATCTAGTAATACCTAAAAATGACAATACACTGCCCTCGTTGGGTTTATCCCAGGAGTGAAAGGGTCATTTAACATAGGAAAATTAATACGTGGAACTCACTACATTTACAAACTAAAGCAGAAAACTCATATGGTTATCTCAGTAGAACAAGAAGTACACTTGATGAAATTTAACATCCATTCATGATGAAAACTTTTAGAAAACGAGAAATAGTGGTATTTACAAAATCTTACATGATGGTGCATGTGGGGGGTTACACATGCTATCACCACTCCTGTGCAGCACCATACTGCTCCCCTCAGACGGTATAATAAGGCAAGGAAAGAAATGAAGATTAGAAAAAAAAACTGCCTTTATTCCCAGACAGTGTGATTACGCCTGTAGAAACCCCAGGAAATCTACAGACTGATACTTAGCATGAGCGTGTCTGGCAGGCTTGCTGGATCCTAAGTCAAAACACAAGCAGCAGGTGTATTTCTATGCACCAGCAACAAACAGCAAGCGAAAGGTTATTAGAC